TTGTAGCTGTCTAGTGACCCAAGTCTATCATAAGCTCTTTGAGTATAGGAGTATTTATGCTCAGAATTAGTTAAAATAGCTGCTTAATTTAGGTGGGTGAAGAACTTGGCTATTTTTCAGATAGGAGGCATCCTGTGAGGAAGAAGATTGTTTCCTTATGTGGCACTAAAATAACACATCTCCCTACCCCTAATTTTACTTGTGATCATTCTATCATTTCCTTTCGTTTAAGAAGCCCGTTGAATTCCATAATTCCTCCGGGACAAATGGCAGAGATGGAAGATGGGCACAAAGTTGTTTTGCCCTCCTCCCCCTGCTGCAGATCACATAGGTTTGGGTTGTCTTACACATACATGCTCTGCAGCCTCTGGGTCTGAGCATTAAAGGAATGATGGACTAATATTAGTAGAAAGGGAAATGACTGATTATTAGTCAGTCTGGTGGTGAGTATTTTAAGAGTTTTGCCACCAAACAAACTGCCCAAGGAAAGTCACTTATGCAGTTTGGCCTTAATTTCCTCTTTTACTTTTTCTTGAGTGGTTGTGATGCAGTGCTTTACCACGTGAAACTGTTGCTACTAGGGGATAATTGGGAGTCTTTGCACTACAGAATAAACAGTTTAACCTTTTCTCCACACGAAAAACTGCCATGTTACATTTAGGCAAAAATGGAAATTCGAAACAAACAAAAATAAATTTGCAAAAATGGAAATTCGAAACCCTCACGTCTTTTTGTTCTTGGTTTTTTTTCATGCATATATATATATATATATATATATATATATATATATATATATATATACACACACACACACATTTTCTGTTTTTGCTCCATTCTTAATCAAAGTTCGTGCTTCTCCATTGAGGCACTGCCCGTGATATTTTTGCCTGTCAAATCTCTTAGAACAGATGGTCCCTTCTGGGAAGCTCTGGAAAGTGTTCTGTGTCTGGTTATGCGTGACCCCTCCTTCCCTCTTGGGGTCTCAGATGACAAGTGATCAAGCCAGTTTCCCTCCTCTTAGGGGTCCTTGATCCAGTAGCGGCAGGTTTTGGTTCCAGGCACTGCAGAGACCCTTTGCAGCTGGGTTTAAGCAGCTACCCCAGTCCGCAGCCAGCCCTGGTCCTGGGGGTGAGAGTGACATCCGGCCTGTCCAATTAGAGACGCAGGATTTTCTCTAGTGCCCGCCCCGCTTTTCCCGCGGCGCCAATAACCGCTCTAAAAGGCCCGGCTTCTGCTGTCAAGTAGCTGGGGTGGGCTCGGCCGAGGCGAGGAGGGGCGCCGGCTGGGGAGATGCGCTCCAGGTGTTTGTAGCGGAAGCGGGAAACCTGTAGGTGATGGTCCAGCTGTGCCACGCCGGGGCGAGCAGGAGCAGGGAACAGGTAGGAG